GGTAACTTTCTGCTGCCATCCCATGGAGTAAAATTGGCTTCTGTTGGGTCAGCGGTAATTTCTGTATTCAGAGAATACTGGCACGTTCCAACAGGAGGAAATCACATTCTGTGGTCAGGTGGCCCCTCCAGCTTTGACTCCTCCTGCTCATCATCATGTTCAGCCCTCCTCTAGAAGTGCAGGTTAAGTGATGGGACTCACACAACAGATGTGACAGCATGAGGTCCCTCACCCTGCAAACAGACAACATAAAGGCAGCAGAAATCATCCACGAATGTATTATGATAGAACGCCACTGTATTGCAAGATGTTCCTGTTAAGTCCCCAAGAGCTGTCTGTGCTTCTCTCGCCAGGCCTGGCCACCTAGTGTTGCTAGGCATTGCCTCCATGGTGCAACACTGTCCTCCCCCAACCATTTAGGGCAGGCATGTGGTGGGGGTGGATTCTTGCTTTGAGCTTAAACCATCCCTAATACTCACCGTATCTCAGGTTAATCTTTGCTTTGTGTGCACCTCCAAACGGGCGTAATCCTCTGACTGACAGTCTTCAGTCGCTGCTGCCGCACCAGCATGCACAGACCCAAGCCCAGTCCTGGCCATCTGACACAGCCGGACCCCTGAGTTCTCCCAGCTCTGACATGGGGTCGTGTGGCCCACAGGCCTGCAGCCTCAGCCTAGCCGCTGTTACACTGTCGGATGAAATCTAAATTAGAAGCATAAGAGCCCGGGTCCCAAATGCTGTTCAGGGACAGATTGGCCACCCAGCCCTCCTGCTTGCAGCCGGTGTATCAAACAACAACTGATGCCCATATTCCCTGATTTAAAATCCTCACGGAGACCATCAAGAGCTCCTGGGCTGGTAGGAGTCCTGCGGGCGTATCAGCCTCCTTCCTGACTGCCTGTGCTCTGCTACACAGGGAGGGTGGCATCCTAGGCAAACAGAAACCTGCAGAGTATCTTTTCTTAATAAAAAAGGTTTAAGATACATGTTGTGGTTTAGAGAGGAGACTGTGGCTTTTTATTTACATAGGAACGTGCAGGTTACAGAGTCTTGAGTCTCCCGAGTAGATCATCGAATGTGGTGCAAGGTCAGACTGGCATGAAATCAATTGTAATCTGCCAGCAAGCCATTCCGCCATTCCAACCTCATTTTTTATATGTGTGTGTGTGTACACACACACACACAATATATATATAATATATACACACACGCATATAGACATATATACACACATACACACACATGTATGTGTATATGTGTGTATATACACACACACAAACACACATATATAAAGTGCATTTGAAGAAAGTCTCATCCAGTCAGAATGTCTGCCTCATATTATTTTTTTAATCGTTGCTACTGCAGTGTGACCAAAAACCTCCTAGTAGTTAACCCTCTGTGCAACTTTGACTAATGAATGAGTTTTGTCTGTTGATAGCAGTCTTGCTAGTTGTCTTTTATGGGACTATAAACGTCGCCGTGTATTACGAAAACCTCAGGCTCCCTCGACTTAATTGATTGACTGTTGGCAATGCCATCTCTATAACCGTAATGTGCCATAATTGCTCGGTCCTAACCGTTTTTCTTATTTTTATCCAGTGGTTCCATTTTATAATGACATTAAGCCATACATTTCTGGACAGTTATTGCATTGGGTGGGAAGTGTCATCTGGCTTTTAGCCTTGCGCCTCACGACACCAACCGAGGCATAAAGTGATCACCCAGAAAATGTACTGGGCCTTACCTCATTACTTACAAATAAATCTTGGAGTCTGGTTCTGTTTCAGGAAAGATTTGGTGAGTTATAATGTTTGATTTATGAACATAATTAAAATATAAATGATGAGCTCTGGGCTATTCAATCAGCCATCTGGATTGTTCAGTATTTTGACATATTCAGGATCTTCCTGGGAAAACTTAACATCCCTGAATTCTAGAGAAGCCAAGCGACATTGCAGGGTTTCTATTCCACCCGTTGAGAATGCTCGTGTTCTTCTTCCAGGGCAAAGAAGGGGGGTAGAATTTGTTTTTAAGTTTTCTTTACCTCTAGGAGGAAATTGGCACACAGACCCTCTGTTGGTTCCTAGGCTGGCAGGGGCTGAGCTGCCCACAATCACATAGTAAGTACATAAACATCGCAGATGCCCACAGAGGAGGACATTTTTCTCTATAATACAAGCAAATTTAATGTTTACCTTTTGAGTCAGCATTAGGGTACCTGTGGTAGCTGTCCCCATAAGTAAATGTTTCTTCAGAAAGCTTAAGAGTAAATTGGGAAAATCAGTTATCCAAATTGAATGTGTATTTTCTTTGGCTTAGTGTGTATTTTTTTTTTTAACCTAAGTTCCAGGTATAGCAAGTCCTTAGCTTGTTCTTCCTAATTTATGTGAGTAATTGACAGCTGTAAATAGCCGTTAGGAACATAAAGAAGCCTTTAAAACAAGCTCACTGGGACTGAAAAGGCAGGGTGGATAGATTTTCAGCATTTTCTTTATTATTAATGGAAGTTGAGCCTATAAAACCCTCAGTGCACCATACAGAAAAATAGTCCTTCTCCTCTGCTTGTAAATTACACAAAGGTAAAAAAAACTTCCACCAAGGCCAGCAATTCTGCTTCTCCTTAGTTAATGGGTTGAAGTCAGCAGTGCATGCAAAATGTAGCCTTTCGGTGGATCAGAGATTAACCTATAAGCAAATGTTACATTTCAGCCCAAATTCTGGGTTTTAAATTTAGCTTCCCCCAAGATGAATCAGTGGTAAGAAGGACTGAGATTCCCTAACCAGGAACACCAAAAGCGCTGCTGTTTCTGAGTATGAACTATTTAACAGAGCAGATCTTTGAGTGTCTGTGATTTCAGTGGCATAAGCTCCTGTTATTATTTTTGTGCCTTTTTAAAAATAAACTTCACCGGGCCCTCCCTGGTGGTGCAGCGGGTTAAAGCACAGCACTGAGAAGCTAAAGTCACTTCAGCATGAGTTCGATCCCCATCCCCGGAGGTGACCATATGGCACAGCAGACCTCTCCTGACCTGCCCGCTGCTCCCCTCAGTAGTGTACTTTACCTGTCTGCCTGTTCTGCTCCCCACTCTGTCTCTGGTGAATCCTGTCACCACCCCTGCACCTCTGGCCTGTACCCCAGTTCTGTATGCATAAATAAATTTTTAAAAAATAATAAAAAATAAACTTCACCAACTAGCCAGGTGTGTGTGTGTGTGTGTGTGTGTGTGTGTGTGTGTGTGTGTGAGAGTGACCACCCAGGTCACCCAGTTAGCCTACAGTGGTCTAGAGTTTTCCAAGGAGGATGCCCAGGAGAGAAGCTCCTGTGTCCACCCGGCAGCCCATGCTCATTCGAGGTCATCAGTTTGCCCTTCATGAGCACACCCACCTCTTTTCAGACTATCCTCCCAACCTAGTTATCAGTGTCTGGAAACCTCTACACCATTCGTGCTTAAAACATTTCCTTTGCCAACAAGTCCAGAAATAGAAGTGTGTTACTCGCAAGGGTCAGCTGGAGCTTGCCGGGCTATTAACTTATGGTCTCTGGCAAGTGACTTCACTGCCCAGATAGCATTCCTGATAGTCAGTGCGCACTGCATGCTGGTACGCAGGGAGGAGCCCTTAAAAGGCCACATGGCTCTCAGAGGCATATGAGATAGATCTGTGATGGGAGCAAGATGATAAAAATGTGTCTGGAAAGCAGCCATCCCTGGAGAGGGCTCCCTAACGCAGCTTACTTAGCTGTGCACAGGTGGAGACCGGCCGGGCTGCCATATTTCTGTTGTCACCCTGAGCCCGTAGATGCATGTCAGTGAGCCAGCCAGAGCCTGTTGCTTAGGCCGTGTGCATGTCCGGAAAAGTGAAGTATGGAAATTGTTTTGACCTTTCAGCCAACCGATGTCTTGCCCTGTCACACTTACTACTCTTGGGCATATGGCCAAAAATACACATGAAGAGAGACATAGATTTAAATGGGAAAAAAAAAATCAAAAAAAATTTAGGGATTAATAGTTTGTTAGTTCAAACTATTCTTTTTTTTTTTTTTTTGTAAATGTGTATGTCTTTGTATCTAAATTCATGCCCGCCTTCTCCACGTCCCCACTCCCGGCAATCCTCATCATTCATCTCCTACCTATCCCCCCTACAAATGCTGAAATACAGTTTTGAAGTAGCTCTTGGAAATAGGACTATCCCTCCTCACTGAGCTAAGCACTTCATCGCGTTAGGAAGCTTGGGAATCTTCGTTGTCTTTAATTACGGATTGGTCATGGGAAATGTGGTTTTTATCCAGAAATCCCTCCCAACGTTTGTTGGTGAGCAGCCTCTGATTGGGGCTCTCTCTATGACCTGGGGCGAGCTATTCCATTCTCTGTCAAGTGTCCCCTTCCCAAAACTGGGCTGGCCCCAGCACCCCAGATGACGCCTGCCCCCATCCATCCTTCCTTCCTGTATGTTTACGCTGAGACGTCACAGTTGCCTTAGGGGACACCCGGACCTCCTAATTCTTCTTCAAGCCATTCAGGCAGAATTCCGAAGTTTTGCTTTCCTCATTTGAAAACAAGCGTCTGGGAGCAGGAAACTTATTAATATGCAGTGTCACAGCAAATTGTCACATAGGAATATGTGATATATGATAAAATGTATCAATTCTGAGCACCCCAAATCTCTGTGGCTTCACCTCAGCATGAAGGCAAATGAGTTTCCTTTAGCTTGAGTGAGTTTGGAGATAAACTTCAATGTAACGAAATGTATTTCACAGGAAATGTTTGATGTGGCACAGTGGCTTATGAATTTCTTATCTATTCACAATTCACTCCTTAGAGTTATTAGTCAATTTAATTTGAGCAAATGCCAGGATTACTAACTAATTAGAAGGATGTTAGTGGCGGCTTGAGGACGGGAGAGGCGGTGGTGGTGGTGTGGGGTTTGTGGTCGCGTGCTGGTCTGATGTTGCTTGATGATCCCATTTGCTAAACATTATACTTTGTGTTGTCGTCACACAGATAAGCCTCAAGTGCATATTCAGATGACTTATCCTGTACAAGGCCTAACCCGGGAAGGGGACGCGCTTGAGTTAACATGTGAAGCCATCGGGAAGCCCCAGTAAGTGCTGAAGGCCGAGTTGGCAAAGGGTCACAAACAGTAAATGTCACAACACAGAGATGTGCATTCACCACGCACTGGCCTGTCACCTGTCTCCTGCTGTACGGGGTGGAGGATTTTTTCAGGAAAGAAAAGAATGCCGTGAGAAGGGGAATAAATATCTGTGGTTCTTAATGGCCAGGAGTGGGAGAAAAATGAAATGCCAGCTAAGATTGAAATCTCAGCTAATTCTATTTTATTATCATCAGCATGATTGTCAGAACTATTTTCTTTCTCTCACACACAAAATAATCCTAATAAACTTTTAGTGTGCCCACAATCTAGTGATGTCTGCTACCTTCGTGTTAATGTCTGGCTGCTGGGAAGGAGGTTTGCAGGCTTCAGTGGAGCTGCCGTCTTCAGGCCCAGCTACAGGCAAATGAATAGACCCGCCTTTAATTTTGCTTCCCCTTCCTTCAAAGAAAAGTGTCAGTCTTGACTCCTGGAAACATTCCTGTTAGTAAGGAATGCTTGAGAAACTTCTCAAGGAATGTATGTTTTATTCTCAACAAACATTTTGTTTATACACACACGCGCGCACGCACATATACACAGATTGCGTAAGAGAATTGCATAAGAGAAGAAAACCAACTTACATTTTTATTGCACTGAAGTGCATGAAAAGGCTACCTACCCCACTTGCCCCTGCTAAGGGAATGATAGTGAATTGGAGAAACTACATGTATCATAAATACCACAAAATAGCTACGTGGTGGCAGGGCGTTGATAGCACTCAGCTTCATTAGGAGAGCAGAGGGAGTCTTCCGTCTTTCTAATGGAGTGAAGATGGTAACTGTTTCTGGAGAAAACAACCCATGAAGTTCCAGAATGGAGCGAGGTCACTGTTGGGAGCTCCCGCTCCCACCTTGGAGCAGCGTGAGCTCCCTCTACTGTTCCCGTGCTGTTTTTTCCCCTCCCCAAGTTTTGCTGGCCAGCATCAAAAGCACAGCTTCCCTGGAAGGCGCTCAGAGCATCTTCCGCAGACTGCCCAGAATCTCTGGAAAGAAGCCTGCCACGCAGCCGGGCGGTGGCCTCTCGGGTGAGGGCAGACAGGCGGGAGCCTGGCCGCAGCTGTGGGATGGCTCTCAGCCCTCCCCTGTCGTACTCACCTGTCCGTGGGCTCGAACACACCCCTTGCGTTTTAGAGATGACCTTTTGGAAGTAGGGGTGGCCTTGGTGGGCGCAGCTGGCCCCACAGCCCCCCGGTTCAAGCGCTTCAGTCTTCCCTTCAGCCGCTTTTCCCTCCTTTGAACACTGCAGACGGCCCAGAGCTTGCTTTCGTAAGCCGTTTGACTTATTCTCTAGTTAGCGGCTTACCTCACCTCCAAAACAATCTAATGGAGGGGGAAAAAAAGATTTTTACAAGCCTCTTGCCACTTGCAATACCTATATTCAGCCGCATTAACCACATTTACAGTATATGGCTTGCTAACCTATATTTTGTTTCTGTGTTTTTCCCCCTGAAGAAGGTACTGTGTTCAATTGAATGTGCCGCGGGGACAGTAAATTACATGTTTCCTTCAGGACATTTATGCCAGAGAGGGTATTTGTTTGTTCCTCTCAAATAGGAGCGGGTATATATGGCTGTGTGAGCAGACGCCCGTTACGCCGCCGCTATCCCTTCCAGCATATTACCTATTTATTTTCTCAAGAAATTGCATACAATAAAAATGGTAATTTAACTTGCCATTAAATGTTGTGAATATTCTCAGCGCTTACCCCCACTGACTGTTTCAGCTGTCAAGCAGCAGGACATTCGGTCTGATTGCCAGGCAGACCCATTTGCCACTGCCTGCAAGGAGGACATATGCGGTCCTAATTTTTAAATAATTTACTGGGTTGTGATGACAAACCCATGTGTAATTAAAGAAAAATTGTAACTTCACATCCCATTTGAAAATTGTAATGCCGCTTGACAGGGCTCACTTGAGTGTCAGCTCACCCTCAGGCCTGGGGCTTCTGACATCTCGCTGCCCCTAGCCGCAGCGATGGGAACTGGGGGAAACGGCTTCCCTGGCCCTTCACTCGAACATGCAAGTTTTCAGGCGCATCCTGGATGTGCCTCCAGCCCACAGGAGGTGGAGGGAGCAGCCGTCTTGCGAATGTTTTAGACTCAGTGACTTGGGAAGAAGTTGTGAAGAATGTGTGAGCACATGTGTGCACATGCATGTGTGTGAGCACACGTGTGCACATGCGTGTGTGTTTGGCTCTGGAGTCTCTCGTGAAGTTCGTTTTTTCCTGGTGGATACACATGTGGAGCTGAAACCTCTAAAACAAACTTGTCACTGATGAGCAAGTGCCACAGGACCCTGGCAGGTGGGGATGCTCCCCAGTCACAAACCTGGGAGCCCGCAGGTACACGCAGCAGGAGGCACGCAGAGGGCGGCTCTTCAAGAGATGTTTTTCCAAAGGGCTCCAAAGAGCTGGTAGATTTGGCAGAGGGGGGCAGCTGGGGGTGGCCTGGCTCCTTTATTAGGGGTAGGGGAGTCAGGTCATTAGTCAGAGTTAAGGGGAGATGAGGTGGTCGCATCTGTCAGGAATGAGAAGAGGCTTTTTTTTTTTTTTTTCAAACTAAAGAGGCCAAAAGAAACACTGTTCAGCTGTAAAGGTCCATCCCCTTCTATAAAACTCCAAATGCATTTAAATATCACAAGTGGCATCTAAGCAAGTGTCTTGGTGGGTTAGTAACCATCAGATGAATGCTTGTATCACTAGCCAAGAGTTTGATTTTTTCCTCTAATTAATGAGATGATTAACAATGGGTGAGCTCTGTCCTGTCTGAATTGGTGTGAAACCACTCAGCAGGGCATCAAAATAGGGCATATGGGTTTATTTGCTGATTTGTTGAAGATGAATTGGAAGTAATGAGACTCCTGCTTGTGGTCTGTTGAAAGTTTCTCAACACCTGATAATGTTTTTTGTTGGTTTCTTTAAAAAAAAAAAATGATACTCCAAATAGATTTTATGGAGACTTCACGGTGGTAATCCTGTGACTTTAAGTATCTCCAATAGGTCCTTTTTCATGGTGTCACCCTGCATGTGGTGCATTTAATGCATGGGTGAGATGTGTAATGCAGACATCTTGGGAGGAAGTAACGCAACCTGTCTTTCTCCCCTTTCTCTTGCAGGCCTGTGATGGTAACTTGGGTGAGAGTCGATGATGAAATGCCTCAGCATGCTGTACTGTCCGGGCCCAATCTGTTCATCAATAACCTGAACAAAACAGATAATGGTACATACCGCTGTGAAGCTTCAAACATAGTGGGGAAAGCCCACTCGGATTATATGCTGTATGTATACGGTACGTGAGAAGACAAAACCCTCTCCCGCTAGATGCATTTACTTGTAGCTGCCGCTCTTTGGTCAAGTTGAAAACCAAGCACCAGTTTGTTTCCTTCCAGAACTTAAAGACGCCTGGCCTGAGGGGGACCCCAGCGTCTCCACCTGAGGGGGCAGCGACTTTTCTTGTCTCCCTCTCATCATGGGGATTTCCCACTAGATCACAGTCTCTGGTCATGCTGAGTAGGAGAGCAGTGTCCTCAGGCACGAGCTATGGAGATTATGTTGGAAATAATGACTGTGAAATTCAACCTTACCAATTAATGGCTTTTCAGCTCAGAAAGCTTATTCCCAGTGGTATTTTCCAGTGATACCTGGGTTAGGCTTTCTTCTGCTGTGATGAGCAGAAATATTCTATTTTCAGCATGAAGCTGTTGCCTTCCAGAAGATGTGGCAAGCCAGTAAATACTTGGAAAAAAAGATAAGGTCCTTGAGAGTTACATAACCTATCTGTAACTACTGCTTTAGACAAAGCTGGTTTTTCTTTTGTTTGTTTACTTAACATCTTTCTTACAGGATAATGGAAGCATGCTTACCATGAGTTTCAATCGCTATCAAATGTTTATTGAGCATCTACTATAGCAAAACATCTTAAATGTCTCTCCCATTTAAATCTTACTGTCAATTTTGAATACGGTGAGTAGCCTCTGTTTAGGTAAGGAGGCCCTACATGCCTCTAGTCCGCAATGACAAATTGGTTCTTTTCTGTCCAGTTGAAATCTCTTGCTTATTTTTCTGCCAGGAAGCATAGTTCTGAGCTAACCTGATACAGAATGAATAACCATAGACTTGAAAATGCCAGTGTATTATAAGTGTAGGAATATGAGTACATTTCTTTCTTCATATTAAGCAGTATAGCTAATCCAACTATAAATGTATGTGAATACATACATATACACACATGTGAGGTGTTTCTACTCTAAGGTCTTTAGAACCTAGTCACTTTCTTTATGAAGAAAATAAGAGTAGCAGTCTTTCTGATGACATGCTTTATCCCATAACAACGTGAAGGTGAAGTGAAAATAGGGTCCTTCGCCTGTACCTCTAAGGTTTAGGTTACACTAATTGTTCCTCAGCAAAATTCAAGGAGTGTATCTTATCATCTTACTTGTAGGCTTCCGAGATATGTTTACATTACACTCCCATGATGTCTGTGGTTTACATATAACAAACACCATTGGTTCTCCCCAGTAGTTAAGGAGACAGAGGTGAGAATGGCTCACCTATGGGGAGGAGGGAGTTTGACCCCATTTCCAGTGGGTATCCTTAGGGCCCCCACTACTCCTGGGCCATTCCATCTGGTGGTGTGAGGGGTGGAGGCAAAGTCCCTTCCTTTGGCTTCTACATTCTTCCCTTTGGCTCTCTTTAGGGGACGGGGACTCACCCTCATAGATGCCCCTCCCTGCATTGCTCTGACCCAGGTTTACAGACTTTCATCCAGCATTTTTTACAAACTATGAACTTTAAAAAAGAAGTAACCAATGTCCACCGTTCCACTACATGATCCCTTGATTCAGAAGATTAAGTAATCTAGAAACACAGTTTTGACATATCCTACATCTCAAAATGAGAAACATTGTAGGTTTACAGACAGACACAGTGAAAACATTTAAGACTGGAGCTGATGGCTGGCATGCACCAAGTTTCACTGTGTGCCATGCTCTAGCATGACTGTTTTTCATGCATGATCTCTCATCTCTACGATAACACCATGAGGCAAGCAATATCATCATCCCATTTTACAGCTCAAAAAGGTCCCATACCTTTCCACGTTCGTCGGGTCACTACGCATGTCTCACGGTCTCCATACAGCTCTCAAGTCCACAGCAAACTCTCTCTTGGTAGTTCCATGTATTCTCCCTGCTTCCCAGTAGAACAGTTCCCTCCTACATGAGATTGTTCTTTGAGAATTATCTCTCAGGGCCAGAGTGCATTATTGAAAGCCAAGCATCAGAGCTACTTCTTTCTCGAAGCACAACTACATGTGCCTGTCACCTGCCCAAGACAGCACTCTTGGCCTTACCCAGGACTTTGCTGCATCTAAATATATCATCTCTCTCCCTTCACCTGTGCCCAGCAGCAGCACTTGTCATGACAGTAGGTGAGGTATTGCTCATGTTCTCCATCCATTTGAGGAGATGGTGAGTGAGTAGATTTTCTTCTCAACGTTTGGTACTTAATTATCTGGGGATCACTGCTCTGTTTGGAGAATCTAGCTGGTTAGTGCTTGATTCCTGTGTTGTATGTGTGTGTGTGTGTGTGTGTGTGTGTGTGTGTGTGTGTGTGTTTAGCCTCCATGTACCAACACAACCCATTAGCTCCAAATCCTCTTAAATAGTGGCCTCACATCACTCTCATTGTGAGAAATGACTTAAGCATTGAGGTCACGGAATCAGTCATTCAGATCACTTGAGCTAGATGTGAAGGACAGTAGCTACCCCCATTATGATGGAAAGAAGGAAAAGTGTCATCTTCACAAAGTGTGAAAATGTGGAACACCCACGATGTTTCTCTGAAGTCTGTGCCCTCGTTAGCCAGCTCCACCCTGCGGTTCAGGTCACCTTCAGCCCCACTTAGAATGTATTATGAACATCCCACATTCTGTGCCAAGACTTTAGAGCTAGGTGCAGAACTTACAGGATAGTAGGTCGGGGGGGGGGGGGTCCTCCCAAGTACAGGTGTTCCTGTTCAGTGATCAACACTATAATTGAGCCAGAACAGAAAGCCACGTGAGCTGCCCCATGCTGGGTGACAGGCGCCTTGTGGTCACGGCTGAGTCAGGCAGTGGAGGGAGCAGAGTGGATGTGATGCTCGACTTCAGGCTCAGCACACCTGGTGCGTATGTGCATCTGCACCTGAGCAGGAAGATGTGCCAGAGATCTGCTGGGTCACGAAATGTCCCGCTGCCAGTGCTCCCCTTAAGAAAGTGTCCAAGGAGCAAGGCAGAACAGTCTGCCCAAGATCAAGTGTTTCTCGTCCTGTTCTTCTAAAAAGGGAGCTTGAAATTACTAATGGAATCATTTCCACTTCTTAGAAAAGGAGTGGTTTTTCTTTTCTTTCTTTTTTTTTTTTTTAATGAATTCCTTTTTTGGGATTCACACGTGAGGCTGTTTTAAACAATATTTTAAACTGTCATATTTCCAACCTAAATGAGCAGTATCTCTTGTAAAACAGAACAATTTGCTGTTCCTTCTTCCCTCTCAAATCCCTACCTTGTGTTTGTCTGAGAGGAGCTGTTTGTGGGATTATTGATCAAATGGAAGCAATTGTTTTAAGCAGACCTTCCCACCAGCCCCAAGATAATATTGTCGTAAACTTTCAGGGAGTCACACTGAACCCAGCCGAGGTGCAGTATATAATTAAAGTTTTGATGTATTAATTAGACAATCTGAGAGCTCACTTGGAGATAAAAGGACACCAGATGTGTCAGGGAAAAAAAAAGTTGACGTGCTTTAGATAAAATTTAAAATCAAAGCCTTCAAATCGTCTCATGCTCTATTATAGAAGAATGATTGCTTAGTTCAAAGTCTTGCTGACAATTTAACAAATTCAGTTTGATCATTTGGGCTTAGAATTTTTTCCCTCTTTTATATTTGCCCTTTTCTTTCCCCCAAATAATTTTTGAGATGATAGAAGAATACACAATATATGAAATATCTGACAAGAGGATCCCCTGTTGAATTCCTGGCTTGGAGGGTCAAGCCTTGGTTATATTTAGTCCTCTTGTTTACAAGCTGGGGGACATTCTTTCAGTTTTGTTATTATCGTCCGCTTAGGTCAAACTTTTAATAGGAGCAAAGGCAACTCACTCATTAATATTTATAAGTTGTAAAATTTATTGACTTTTCAAAATAAAATCTCAGTAAAATCTCCCATGCCTGGAACTTGATATTTAGTGGTGACATTCTCTCTTCTTTGTATTTATTACAAGGATAGAAGTGGTTTTACTTCCTGCTGGGGTGTATTGATGGAGAATAATGAAGTTAACAGTCAGAGAGAGCAAGGGAGCAAGGCACACTCATCCTTGGCAGATAGGAGCCCTTTAAATAGAGCAGCGCCTTTCCCTCCCCGCCCCCATCTGTAAAAGTGTACAGTAAAATGACAACCACTGTGTCCCCCGTGCCCCCCGGGGCTGAGTTAGTTCAACCTTATCTTCAAAATCAGATGGAGAGAGAGGGTCATATGTTTGGGTTTTTTTTTTTCCCCTCCCTCTCTGCATCTGTTCATCTCTTGTTCACTTCATTAATACAAATCTCTTCTCTTCTTTTCTTAGCTCTTCCATCTAAGACTTTGGGTTAAAAATCTTTGAAGGGAAAAAGAACTTTGGGTTTGAAAGGGGGAAGTCATCAAACAAACATCTCGATGTCCTCATGCCTTTGTTTTGTCATTACTGGTCATTGTTGTGTTCAGCATTGTGGGTTTGATTTTCCTTTTTTTTTTTATCCAGATCCCCCCACAACTATCCCTCCTCCCACAACAACCACCACCACCACCACCACCACCACCACCACCATCCTTACCATCATCGCAGGTATGGTACCTTCATTACCATTGAAAATGTCCTGAATGTATATTGTCTTTCTGCTATGGCTTAAGAAGAACCCTAAATGCGTCCACTGAGCCCTCGGAAGGAATCCTTCCGTTAGTTTGGAACGTCCAAGACTTGGATGCTGTGGTCTTACCTGAACCTCAGGGACTCCAGAAAAATCTTAACCCTCCAAGCATTTAACAAAAGATCCGTTATTTTGCCATTGACGCATTCGAGAATTCTTTTTTTGAGCATCACTGTTCAAGGCAAAATGCCAATACAAAGTGCCTGGCTGCTAGAGTCAAAGCAGTAGATTAGGCCTGGTCCCGGTTGACAAAATGGTAAGTAATATGGCTCTGGATCTTCTCCTTTTCTTCATTTCCTCTTAATTGACACAAAGGAAAACACACACCCTTCAACATGCCCGTGGGGACGTGTTCCTAATGGCATAGAGTCCTTTTTGCCCCAGAGAGAACCTGCAGCGCTGTCACGACCTGTTTTGGAGGCCTGGTAGTCACAGGGGTAGAGGGAGCCGCTGCCTTTCGGCATTGGGCCCCAGGTGGGCATTGGGCCCCAGGGTCTGCCCCGCCCTCCACTCCACAGAGGGGCAGAGGCACCAGTGCAGCCCTCACTGGCTTTCTCCCTGGACGGTCTATAGCTCTTACTCACAATGAGTCCCACTCTTATTTCTGACTCGCTGAGAGCGAGGCCTGCCATCTGTCCCCTTCCTGTCTCCAGTGGCTTTCATATCGTTTGATGATGTTTGTCTGGAGTCTTGGCATTTGCTCTGCCTTTCAAGATAGGAAAGGTGATGGCAGACCTTGGCCACCGACACACAGGATTTCCTTAGGTAAAGTGTCCCCTGCCCACTGCTCACAGGTACCCACCCCAGAAACACATCCGAGTTATTCTATGAGGAAAACAGTCTCTTTACAAGATAACTCTACTTCGTCGTGTGACCTGATGAGACGCCCTGGTCTGTCTGAGGCTGTGCCCAGCACGCGCTCCGGGCCAGCATGAACACTTGACTCGTGGTTCTTTGTGTAGGAAGCCTCTTTACCCCTAGACATGGAACCGTCCTTTACACTGACTTTTTGGAGATGGCCTCAGTTTCCACAGCAGCCACTGAGGTGGACATGGCAAGAACTCAGAGAGCATCACAAAGTTGACACTCATCCGTTTATGAGCCCTGCCAGTGGGTTGTCAAACCTCCCGTTTCTTCCCTTTTCTAACCATCACAGTGACCTAAAAGGAACCTCATTTGCTCCCTATGAGGTTTCCTAGATGTAGGACATGAAACCATCATTGTCTACACTTACTTGAAAATCCATCAGTTGGTTTTGGAGTCTCATTCTAACCTCAGCTCCACCCAGACTGCTTCCTAAATTCTTGTCTCTGTGTGTGTGTGTCTGTGTATTTCTATTTTAGCTTTTTGTTAGTTCCTTCTGCTTCTACAGTATTAATTCAGTTCATACAGCGAAAATTTCTCGCACTTTCTGTACTGCTAATAAGCATGGCCAGATAGCCCTGGCTAACTGAGCCTCTATACACCAACCTTCCACACTGAACTAGGTTTTTAATCTTTCATGATTTCTTACCTCTTCACCTAGTGTAAGCCAGATTAGGCTTGAGCTCTTGTTCCCAGGTTTTCATAAAATGTTGCAGAAAGTCCCTTGGATGTCAGTGTAAATGACAACACCTCTATCACCACTGCCCTGCCTCCATGAACCTTTGAGGACATCCTTTGGTCATCTTTCTTTGCAGAAGGTGCACAGGCATAAACCTGCCCTCACTACATCTCATTGCGGAAATGGCATTGACAAAGCTGGCCATGTTTGCTTTGGAAGGCAGTCGAGGCCTTATCCACTCTGCATCATCCCTTTAATATGGGACACTTTTCATTCATCTCTACTGGCTTAGCTTTTTTTAAAAAAAAAAAAACTTCCTTAACATGCCCTAGACTCCCAGACTCTTCCCCACTCCCAATCAATCTCAGCAACTCAGCTCTTAATCCTTCACTCCAGACTAAAGCTAATCTTATGTCTTCACACAGCTACAACTCGCTGTTATCACAGTTCCGGCTGCAGAGACTCCATTTAAGAGGAAATTTTAAAAACAAACAATGCTAGATTTCTTTCCACATCTAAGGTGCCATTACAGGGACCTGTCCTGTGTCCATCTCTGCTGCCGACCTCTTAGCGCAAGGTGGTGTAAGAAAATCTCATCGCTGCCCTTCAGCCTCTTGGTGTTAGCACTAAACCTTTCTGCACACAAACTACGTTTGTGGCAATGAATGTCCAGATTCTCCCCGGCACGTCCAAGAGTAGTTAAACTAAAATTGCTACTAAAACAACAGTGTAGAATCCGCTGCCTTAATGGATGTGATCTTACGGGCTTACTGTGTCTTAACAAGCCGTCTTACATGTATTTATCTTGCCCAGAAAGTACACTTGTGAAATTTAACATTTGCTCCTTTCTTCAAACAGATGAAAGGTTATGGAGCTGAATGAGGCTATGTCCCATTTTAAAGGTCCAGGCTAGTCCCTAGATTTAGATTGATTCCTAAAAAATCTTCCAGACTGAATCTCGACAAATGGATAGCTAAATTAATTTCCACCCTTCTCCTCTCTTGCACTGTTTGGTACATTACTGCCACCATTAGCCTTAAAAGCTTCAACAGCTAAATCCAGTGACAGTAACATAAAGCCTGAACTCAGAAAAAAAGCAGCAGCAGCCCACAATCATCTGTTCCTTTCCTCCCATTCAGATGTAATAACTGAAGCCCATTCCCCAGCTTAGCGTCGGATTACAAGTAAAATATACAAATGCAATTAAATATATATATACACACACATAGAAATATATGCACATATATTATTACAGACACACATACATACATATATATATATATATATTTTTTTTTTTTTTTTAAGCTCAAAGATCATAGTTGATTTCTGATTTCCCTCAAAGGAAGTACTCCAGTGTTGTCTTTCATCTTCCGTAGCCAGGATAATCGAATCGTTCCCCTTGTTAGAGAGGCCAGCTGTCACTTAGCTCTCGGTTGCCTTATTCTCTCCAAACAGCTCAGAGCTCTGTCCTGGAGGCCCATTAGAGGGAGGATTTGTAAGTATAGTCCTGCTGGCCTCTGCCCACCCAGGACCTACCCTGCTAGCAGGGAGCAGTAGGGCCTGTGTGTCCATCGGTCTGTCCATCCTGCATGGAGCCAGCCTCCCCACTATAGACCCTCATCTACAGGAGAATGTGTAGTCTTTCGAGTCCCTCGAGGAATACTTGATCCATTTGCCATACAGCATGGTTGCAGCTTTACAACTCTTAGGCCATTAATATCATAATATCTCTTTCCAGAAAAAATCCATTTGAGGGATGGAGCTAGGAGGGGGCCCCGTTCAGAGCCACCTTGTGGTCCATCCTCAAAGTCCTTGGTTCTTTTCGCTTTCATGTACTACATGGCTGTTCTGACCACATATTTCTGTCTCACCTCTTGGCAGGGCCCCACTCACTTTCCTTTTCATTTAAAAAAAAAAATCATGTCAAGTTTTCCGTGTGGTTTCATTCATGAAGCTTTGCGCTGTAACCCGGAAGAGGAAACCGCATACTCTAAATTATCCCTGGAGCCCTCAATTAAAACAGAAAAAGCAGCCATTTCCCAGAGTAAATGTCCCTCTTACAGATTCTTCACAAGGGCTGGAAGCAAAGAAAAGAAGCTCCTGCCATACTGGGGATTTTTGTATGTTTCTTTCTCAGCTCTTTGAAGTTAGCTATGTTTGGTATATTGGGTGTATTTATAGGTAGTTGTTCGCCTATTTGGTGCTAACCTTCACCCTCTGACAGTCCGAGGAAGCTCTATCCTGCCATCATCTTAGGAAGATACTGTCTCTGTAGTTTTGGGGGATATGGTAGTAGTTTTGCCTCTATGGCGTCTGAGTGAGCTGCTCGTTGCTGTGCACTATGTACAGTGTTCAGTTTTAAACCCCTTTAGCAAATAAAATAGGAAGTCAGGCTGGGAGAAGAGCAGTCTGTGGGCTGCTTTGCACATGACCAGCATAAACTAAAGAATTAAAATCACCTAAGAATAAGATATAGGGCCAAATTCTGAAACGCATTTAAAAATTCTTCATAGGGACAAAGTAGGTCATTTCAAAACCAGCTTTTCTCTTTTTTAAAGTACATATCCAATTAAATGTTTTGTGTTTCTTGGAAAGGAAAACAGCAGTTGTTTTTTTCTTTCTTTTTTTTTTCTTTTTTCTTTTTTTTTTTTTTTACTGGCATCTCAGGACTCAAAACCCAATATGCCTTGGAGAAAGCACAGTTTTAAGTTTCTTGCAAGTTACAGTAGAGTCTTGTAAATTATAGTAGTGAGGGGGTCTTGCAAGTTGCAATAGAGAGAGGGGGATCTTGGAAGTTGGGGTAGAGAGGGGAGTCTCGTCAGTCACAGTAGAGCCGCTCCCAATGAGCTGTGTGTTCTTCAAGGTCTTAACTTGACTACTCCCCCTTATGCTACTCCCCCTTGCCTGGTGCAAGGGGCATTATATATGTCACCTTTTGGGCATACATTCAACAAATATCAAGCACTAGACATACAGCAGTATGCTTAGGCCTGTGAAGATAGAAAATTCCTTAAACCCCTTAAAATATGGTTGAGGAGATAGGTTAGATGTGCTGAAACCCAACAGCGGGGCTGAATGGGTGGCACAGACGGGGAGAGGACCAAGGAGAAGCAGAATTTGGTCTCCCCCATCAAAGAAAGGATCAAATGTGGCTCAAGAAGTGTGGCACTCGAGAATCAAGCATGGCAGCCCAACCTGAATTCAAACATCTGTCACCACTGTGACTGTTTCCCTGTGTGTTTATGTCCTAGACATATACAGAGCTGTTGTTAGCAATGCCCCTCTCTCTTCCTGGACTCTTTCCTGAGTTGCCTTTTTCCTAAAGATGGCTCTTACTCCATCGAGACTGTTTTTCATTCATCATTTATTGAATCC